AAGCTGAAATAGCTTTTATTACTACTAATGTTCTAACTTGCTCTTAGCGCCCTCTGTACTGCACAAGCAACGACGCTGGCTTTTAATAGCGATAACTTGCAGAGGCATTGTGCTGCGCGAGGAGGCAGGTTCTTGTTGTCCGTCTGCTTGCTTCTTTTAGGTCTCCACGTGCTTTCTGAATCGTTCTACCGTCAATTCAAATGGTTTGAAAAGTTTCCTTCGCTCAGCGTGATTACGCAAGTTACGTGCGCAGGAGCGTAATATCAGCGTGATATAGGAACAGTCACCTTCGTGCGGTTGGACGCTGCTGCGTCCGACGGGCTCAACGTCCTTCGTGACAATGAGCTGAACACGTTATGCAACGAGGCGTTGCTCCGTGGAAGAATACCGAAGTGACAACCGCACGGCTGGTGTCTCGCTGCACCGGTTTCCTGTCGACACTCAAAGGTGAGATTTTGTTCCTGTCAGTGAGGTGCCTGCTGTGTTGTGTTAAGTGATGCCATGAAACCCCTTGTAAAAAGTTCTCTTAACTGTTGTTAGTTTTCGCTGACTTTGCAGCGTTGTTTGGGCTCATTACGAAAGCGCCCAGGATATTTGAATTTACCTGAACCGGTTTGCCCCTCAGGAGTATGGGGTCATACTCATCGACGCTGTAATCAAGGATGCAACACGACATAGAAACATTTAAAAGCCTCTGTACTTAAGGCTCATGTTTATATTTTTGTGGTTCATACAGAGAGTTTTGCTCACTAATCTGTAAATGTCCTCGCTCTATTTGCTTTGGTGTGTGCACATATTGGCTACATTTGCTCTTTGCAAGTACGCAAGACACTTAGATAGCAGAGCGCTTCATCCGCAGGCGTGAAGCATGGTTTCGGTTCTCCAACAACCGGGGCCTACAGGGGAAGACTTCATGGCAGCTATGAAACATGGTTGTTTGCTCTTTACATTTTAAGGAGTCAGCTTTTCTGCGGCCTGGATACCTACGCCACAATGCAGTGCCGACTGTGCTTGCCCCTGAAGGTGCCCAGACCACTAGACCTTCCGACGCGCTTTGAGAATAACCATGTCAAGGCCCACTGATTAGGGAAATAGTTAGCACATGGGCCCGAAAAATTGCTTTTGTGGACTTATAACATTTTTATACAATTTCACAGAAACGACACGTGGCGAAGTTTCAAGCAAAATCTCTACAGTTTCTGCAGTGGCAAATGGTGAGCTTTTTCGCTGTACTTATTATAAAGAGGCAACAAATGACATCACCACTGTGTTAGTTCATGTTCTTCATCACTTGAGCATTTTGCTATAGAATAAAGTGTGCTTGGACAAATATGGGGAATCAGATAGGAGTCATTGATTGGGTTTCATTCTAGGCCCGATTTACTACATTTTTAACCTCAGGTGAGTAGGCGACGCCAATATGGGTCCACAGACCTGAATTGTCCACGTTGACAAGCAGCTTTCGGAAATGAAGCTGTCCTTAAAATAAGGTTATTTCCCTTTTCCGATATTAAACATAAGCGAATTGGGGAGAAATTCAACCGGTACTGTTTCACTAATTTCAGATTAAATTTGCGGGAAGGAGTTCTCCAGCCCCACCGACCTACCGATACCCGGGCCGCTCGGACACCCGGAGTTCCTGTGGCAATCCTGACGACCAGTCTTCCGAAATGGAACTGTCCTTAGAAGAAGGTGATTTTTATTTTCAGATCTTAAAATAGGAGAGTCAACCAGGAATTTAACCGCTACTCCTTCAATCACTTTGTGTAAAATATGCAGGGAGGAGTTCTTCATCTTCATCGAGCTGCACATCCTCCAGCCGCCCAGACTCGCGGAGTTCCTGTGGCATTCCTGACGAACGGTCTTCCGAAATAGAGCTGTCACTGGAAGAAGGTGATATTTTTTTAAATAGGAGAATCAACCAAGAATTCAACCGCTACTCCTTCAATAACTTTGTGTAAAATATGCAGGGAGAAGTTTTTCATCTTCATCGAGCTGCACATCCTCCAGCCGCCCAGACTCGCGGAGTTGCTGTGGCATTCCTGACGAACGGTCTTCCGAAATAGAGCTGTCACTGGAAGAAGGTGATTTTTTTTAAATAGGAGAATCAACCAAGAATTCAACCGCTACTCCTTCAATAACTTTGTGTAAAATATGCAGGGAGGAGTTCTTCATCTTCATCGAGCTGCACATCCTCCAGCCGCCCAGACTCGCGGAGTTCCTGTGGCATTCCTGACGAACGGTCTTCCGAAATAGAGCTGTCACTGGAAGAAGGTGATTTTTTTTAAATAGGAGAATCAGCCAAGAATTCAACCGCTACTCCTTCAATAACTTTGTGTAAAATATGCAGGGAGGAGTTCTTCATCTTCATCGAGCTGCACATCCTCCAGCCGCCCAGACTCGCGGAGTTCCTGCGGCATTCCTGACGTACGGCCTTCCGAAATCGAGCTGTCACTTGAAGAAGGTGATTTTTTTTTTTAATACGAGAATCAACTAGAAATTTAACCGCTATGCCTTCAATAACTTCATGTTAAATTTGCAGGGAGGAGTTCTTCAACTTCATTGACCTGCACATACTCCAGCCGCCCAGACTCGCAGAGTTCCTGTGGCATTCCTGACAACCAGTCTTCCGAAATCGGGCTGTCCCTGGAAGAAGGTAATTTTTTTTTTCATTTTGAGATGTTAAAAAAGTAGAATGAATCTTAAATTCAACCACTAATTCACTGTTTTCACATTACCTTCGCAGAGGGATGTTCGTCAGCTTCATTGGATTACACATATTCCTGTCTCCCACTAGAGAACAGTCCACTGGAGGCCCATGGTAAGTGATGGGAGAGCAGGGCGTTTCTGCGCGCCTTGTTGCTCTGACTTTTTTGTGCATTTTGCTTTTAATACAGTTATTGTAACAGCACTTTCTATTTTTCTATTTATTTTGAAGTTGATCATAGCTACGCCCTTCCTCAAAATGCTGTTTTTGCTCACGAGTCCAGCAGAGACAAGGCTGACATGGCGCCGTCGATTTATGGACCGTCACCTGAGGACTCTCTCTCTAGCAGTGCCGGTGTACTTTCTCACAGAGGTAAGTGCTCTTTCATTTTACCTCTTGCGCCTTTTTCGTTTTGTATTGTTAAAGTGTACAAATTGGTAGCCGAACATAAACAACCAAGGCTAGTTATAGATATCAGGTGACTTGAAGATACTAAAATTTATTCTGAGAGTTGGCAGTACATACAAGGGTACATATACTCTACATTCTACATTCATAGCCATGTCACAGAGCACAAGGCCGGATGGCAGCCAGCTAGAAACTGGAGTCAATTGAAAATCCACCATTTATTTGTGCTTCACATTATAATATTTAAGGTAATGTATACAAAATGTTCATAAAGTTTCAGAGACGAACCACCAAAACACCTCAATGGGTTTCGCTGAATGGTAACGCAATAATCTTTTCGCAAATCCTCATGTAAGGCAGCATTTTTTATAGCTAGCTAGAAACTGCCTGGGCCATACGTGCATGATGCTAACCTTATTTAAATTTGATTCGCATGTATGTAGTACGTTATCAAACGTTTCACTGTACCTGGTTTTAAAAAAATTGTGCAACTTGACAAGGAATGCAAGTTCTTATTAACCACCATTCACATATATATAAACATTTTTAGAGTTTACTGATCCGGGTGATTTGTCACCTTGCAGCACCAAGCAAGGCCCGAAGCATTGACAAGAGAAAGATGGATGCACTGAGGGCCAAGGTATGACAGGTCCGAGAACAAAACAAGAGGCTGCAAAAAAGGCTGCAACGACAGCGTCAGATGAGGACTGTTGCTGAAGTTGTTGAGAGTGTCCGCATTCCTGTTTCTCCAGCTGTCGCTGTACTCGTTGAGGCCCAGCTTAGGATGAGGGATGTGAGCCGGTTTGGTCGACGGTGGTGCAGCCAGAACAAGGCTTTGGCTTTAAGCCTCTACATTCATAGCCTAAAAAGCTATAAGTACTGTAGGCAACTGCTCCGGTTGCCATACGTCCGATCACTGCAGCTGTGGCTTCAGCATGTTCCACTGAGAGTTGGATTTTACCCCGAAATTTTCGAGCTGGTAAAGAGGCGAGCGACTTCTTTTTCACGAGCCGATCGAGCCTGCAGCATAGTGTTTGATGAGATTCATAATAAAAAAGAGCTTTCATACAACCCCTCATCTGACAGGTTTGAAGGACTTGAAGAGCATAGTAATGGTGTGCAAGGTGCGAACCTATCAAACAAGGCTCTCGTGTTTTTGGCAAAAGGAATTCGAACACCATAGAAGCAGCCACTTGGCTACTTTTTCGCTCATAAAGGCACAGCTACGAATGTCCTACAAGATCTTCTTTTTCAGTGCTACAGCCTACTTGTGGATGCGTGCCTGGAGCCAGTAGCTGTGGTATGTGATCAGGGGAGCCAGAACGTCTCCCTTTTTTCAAGCCTTATAACCCTCGAGAAGCCTTACATAGATGTCAACGGCAAACCTCTTTTTTTTCCTTTTTGATGCTCCGCACCTGCTGAAGTGCCTCAGAAACATGCCATTTAAGTATGACTTCAAGGTTTGTGATCAAGCACTAAAAACTCGTACATAAAGGAAGCTTATGAAAAGGACCGGAAACTTGAGATCCGTTCGATGCCCAAGCTGAACGCAAAGCACTTTGATTTGACGTTCTGCTCAAAGATGTCGGTGAAACTAGCGGCCCAAGTTTTTAGCAACCATTGTGCTGCTGCAATGTATGGCTTCGTAACGTTCCAGCAATTGCCAGCTTCAGCTATTCACACTGCGAGATTCGTTGAAAGAATCGACCGTCTTTTTGACAGCCTAAATAGCTCCCACAAATCGGCCAAAACGCCATTCGCCTCTGCGATGCATAATGGCTCCGTCCATGAAGAGTTTTTCAAAGAGTGCATTGAAGTTTTTGAAACTCGGCAAGTACTCGGATGTAGACGGCAGCCAAACTGCATTCGTGGCTTTTGCTTAACAATGAGGTCTCTGATGATGCTCCACAATCACCTCACAATTAATTTTGGTTTCACCTACGCTTTAACCCGCCACTTTAACCAGGATACGCTTGAAAACACCTTTGCTGTTATACGTCGAAATCTGGAGCAAACGCAAACTCTACTTCTTGTCAGTTTCAGGCAGCGTTCAGACATCTTTTGGTAAGCATTTTGTTCAAGCTGACTGAAAAATCCAACTGTGCTGAGGAAATGATGTCCCTCCTTGCTACTCTTCCGGTAGCAAGGAGGGACATCATTTCCCAAGGGTAGAGAAGCAGAGGGACACCCTCTGCTTCTCTACCCTTGGGAAGCTCAGTTTTCCTTAGCGCAGCAGACGATTCGCCCTTAAACTACCCTTCGGCCATGGTAGCGAACAACATGGTTTATTTTGCTGGGTGGCTTGCGACAAGATTTTTGAAGGGTCCTTCTTGTGTCGGGACATCTCAGAGATGTAAGCTGAAGAAAGAAAATGCATGTTTTTCTGAAAGAAACCAAGTGTTACTGTACTTGAGTGTAAAAGGCACTGCTGACTCGGACTTTGGAAACCTGTCAGTTCCCTCCCCTTCTTTCACATCATTCGTTGAGGCATGTGAGCGTGTTTTGGAGGCGAGGATCAACAATTTCATTTCAAAGGAGGGAATAGGGCGCACTCTTTGTGTACTTTTTCATCAGGAGGTCCAAAAGTCTCTTGTTGTGTGTAACAACAATGTGTATGACGACTTGTTTTCTCTGTTTGCAAGAGTTAGGCTACACCGGTTTGCACGAAAAAAAAACACTGAACTTGTTGATGCATCAGCAAGGTGTAAAACTAGGCAGCACATGCAAAGGCTAAACTCTTGAGACTACACAGCGTACATTTTAAAAGTAGTATATGTGCTTTCCTAGCCTTTCGTATGGTACAAAAGACTATTCTCGTTTGCTCTATATTTTGCAACGTGTCTCGAAAGAATCTAGCGGGCGCACAATTTCGCGATCTAGAACAATATTTATTGCTTTCATATCCTTGGACTGAGTCATTTTTCGCGATGTTTATCAAATTGTGAAATTATTAAAAATTAGGTCATCGCGAAAGTCAAGGTGCTTACTGTGCTTTGGGTTACTGACTGCTCATGTTGTTTTGTCACTGAATCAAACCTGTGGTTTTAGGGTCCGACGAAACACTGGCCTATTACCTGCAGCGTACTGGAGGGCACCAAAATTATTTACGCGTACAAGGGAGGTTACAGAGTACACAGCACCATCATACTCAAGTTAGAAAGTTTTCTGGATTATGGTACCTTGCCAAAGAACGGCAAAATCGGCTGTTATTTTTGCTGAACACAGATTTCCTCCAAACACTTTGAATATTTTTATATTGATGGCTGTCTATAAACTGATAACGCCCACACAACAGGCAACCAATTGTACAGTGTGTTACGTGCTATCCTGTCATAATATGCCTTGTGTATTGATCGAGTTTTCTTCCACCTTAAAACTGGGTATGATTGTATGCTTCTGATGAGCGTTCTGGTTGAGGGATTGTAAGCAGTTTTAAGCGAATAAAATGTTAGTGCAACATTGGACTTGCATTAGAGTTACTGTTGTGTATCTTCAACGCTAACACACTCGAGAAACGTTATTGTTATTCATTTTGTTTGTGAGGTCAATCACCTTAAAGCCGCTCCCACATTTCTGAAAAGCTGAAGAAAAAAGCAAAAGTAGTTCTGTGGGATGAAAAAAAAATTATTCTCGTAGTGAGCTGCCTAAAAAAGGCGGCTGCATACATAAATTGAATTATTTTCGCGCAGATTTAAGAGTCCAAACGGGGTGGTGTAAATTCAACATAAAAAAAACCGAGACTGCAGGCAAGAACACACTAAACGAAGTCAAACATAGCTTGACACAGCTTCGTTTGAGACTTCCTTAGAAATCGAGATTGCAGGCAAAAAGGACGATCGTCCTTTTGGCCTGCAGGCTCGGTTTCTTGTTATATTTAATTTTCGCGCCAAACAACACCTCAAAGTGACGTCACGTTTTTTTGTTTTTTTTCGGAAGTGACGTCACTTTCTGTTTATATTTTGTTCCGCCGGAAATGCTATCACGACACATAGATGGCGCTAGCGAAGCCCCATGAGCCGCCATTTTTTCGACACGTGGGGTTCTATGGAAGCTTCGCTACCATATGTACATATATCTTGCCGGTACTTCCATCACCAGCTCGCTTCCAGATGAAATTATCTAAAACCTCGTTTGGAAAAGAGGCGCGTCAAGTTGCGCTGAACGTTTACTACAATAATTGGGGCCAACGTCGCTAGGTGCGAATTCGCACAGTTCGAAGCTCAAGGGGCCTTCGCACGTTGGTGCCGTCTCGGAAACGTTCGTGGACTCAGAAGGCTGTGTTCACCGGGATCACGACGGACGAGCTGGTAGGCCATCGTAGTGAATGGAACAGAAAACATCCATTGACAACATGTCTGGTTGCGCCGTGAAGCGGAGATTTATACGTTGATGCCGCATGGTTTTTGCGGAATTAGAGAAAAGAAGCAAAATAGCTTCATACCGCCGTGCGTGATTCGTCACTCGCTCTCCGAGAGCTGTAGTGTTGATGAACGTTCCCCCTACGTCGTGGCAGTCACATTGGGAGCACACAGGCACGGTTTTGCAGCAAAAACTAAGATTTAAAACACTCACTTTGCTTGCTATTTCACTTTTATTTACCGATTTATGAAACCCTGGCTTGCGCGTTCTGCATGCGAGCAGGAGTATGCGGCGAACTTCCAAGCAAGCAAGAGCGTTTCAGTTAAAGTCAAGGTTCGATTGTTATCGCTTACCTGAATTGTTGAGTGACTTAGAACGCGTAGATGGGTTTTTGTGTGCCACAAGAAAAGCGAAAGGCTTCTGCGGACCCCGCTTCTGCTCGACGGGTAAAGCTGTCTGCGTAAGCCTATCCCACACAGAAAGGCGACGAAACCGTCGCGCGTCGATCTCACAACTCCAGAATGCTCCAGCGTTCCGTAATAAGCGAAGAACATTCCAGAAAGTCAGGTATGCTTATCGAAAACCGCAGATGCGATCGGTTCATCCCCAGTAAGCCCGCCTAAACCTTCCTGCCGGCGCCATTGCAACCCGCGCACTGATACCGCTGATACGCAATTGAGGAGCAAGCTGACGTCACTTCTTAACATGCGCTTGATTGGTTCTGGCAGTCCGTAGCTTTGGCTCGGGGTCCAACGTAAGGTGAAACGGAGTACAGAAATGCGCGTCTCAAAGCCAGAAGCGCGGGAATCTGTCGCCGGGTAGGTTAGCGCATCTCAGCTCGGAGCACGTATAGCGAGAGCTCGCGCTGCAGAATCCATGGATAGGCGGTTCAACCGTCTTGCCTGCACTTTCTCATTCGAATGAGCGTCCTACCATCGTGTGGGTCGTCTATCAAAAGTGCCCATGACACGCCAAAACAAAGTTTGGTTTTCATGCTAGGCGTTAAAATAGTGCATCAGGATATCACCAAAAAATTGTTTGGCTTTAGAGTTGCGTTGATTTCATGTAAAAAATAGAAATACGACGCCCAATTCAAAGCGCCCGCCAGTGCTGTGTGAGGTAATAGTCTACCGCAGGGTGTCGGGGCGGTAAGAAGGGAGGCATCGCCGGTAGTGACGTGGGTTGTATCACTCCTCGTGCTTACCGCGACCGCGTGTAATATTTGTTGATATATTTGTTTTTCTTTGCACCTTCGAGAGCAGTCTAAGCAGACAAGGTTTCTTTTATTTCCTTTTCATCGACTAATGTTGCTGTAAAGTTAGAAGAAGAGGAGTCAGTGAACCAAGTAAACAACTTCATCTTATGTTCTAAGCAAAAGCAGGTACTTTATGGTCGAGGTTTACTTGTACTCGGTACTCAACAGTTTATATTCTCTAGACGGCAGCATCTTCAGCCTGGAGAGTCTCCGATGATTCGACGACCTCGGTGTCTGAACCTTCAGCAATGCGATCGCGCGTGTCGTATGCCAGCAATCCTAATTCCTGCAAGCGTTCTAATTTTTTTTACTAGATTGTTTGGTGTGTGCCCAGTATGGCTCCGTGCCATCGCACTGATGGCATGCACTCGTACACTGGCTTGTACTCGCAACGATTTCATCATTGACCTCCATCACGTCAATCCACTGACGCTTCGTCTTCAACTTTTACAACACGCTAACTAGCCAACGGTGTCGCGACAAAAAGCTAGTAAGACTGAAACTTCGTTTTCTACAATCGCTCGTAATAAAAATCAGAAAAAAAGTCTTAAGCACGGTCGCGGAGAGCACAGGTGTTGAAACTCACGTGACTTCCGGCAAACTCACTTTTAGTGACATAGGTCGATGCCTATTTTCTGACCGCCCCGACACCTTGCGCAACATTGTTACGTCACAAGGCACTGGCGGGCACTTTGATTTCTTTTGGCGTGTCAGAGGCCTTTTAAAGATCCCAGGCTAGGAGGTGTACTGCATTGGCCAAATTTAGCATCTACAGCTAAGCACAAGACGCTCATAAAGCAGTCATGAAACGATATCCGGTTGAATTGTTTGTGACTTTGCAGAAGAATATTGGTGAATGTCGTGCACAAGAATACTCGCAAAGACCGCGACTAACTCAGAAATATCTTTGACGCGGTGAATTTAGAGGATTATAAGTAGGGTGTGTATTTTCCGGTTTTAACCGAAAAACACCGATAAACATCCGTCGGTGAGGAAAATATAAAATCGGTTAAAACCGAAAAACACCGGTGGTTGGATTTTTTCGTTCTGGTTAAAACCGAAAAACACCGGTCAAAACCGAAAAACACCGGTCGTGGCATGATTCCGACCTAGCGAAACCTTTTCCCCGTAGAGGTTCGTCAAGCGTGTTATCTCGTGGATCCTGCATTCTTCTAGTGTCTACACATGGCTTGCACGTGGCGTCAGTCCGCCCTCCTTTCTGGGGGTCAAAAGCGTCTAGTGAACGCACTGGAAGCTAAGCTCTCACACGCCTTTCCCCTATTGTGTCTCCCATGGCCCCCTTTTGCGGAAAAATTAACGCGGTGGAGGGTAGGCTCTCTCGTGCCCTTTCCCCATTGTGTCTGGCCAAGTAATGTCGGTGCGAGCCATATATTCAGAGGTTGCTATGGTTCCTGGAAGACACTGCCAACGTCCGTGTCATACAGGAGCGCGCGTTTTCATAATTGTGGGTTGTGAACCGCAAGGAACGTGCTGCCATGACGGATGCAAGCCCCTCAAAGTATGCTTGCATCTACTATAATAACCAAGTGTGAGAAATAGATGCTTCCTAAAAGAAGAAGTGTATGAAATATGTGAATAAAATTGGAACTCTCTGTCTGTGATCAATCGCATTTTTTCCACCGATAATCACCGATTTTAGCCTCGTCGTGAGACGTTCCACCGAAATACACCGGTGTTTTGAAAATAAATAAACACCGAAAAACATCCGCCGATTTTTCTCACAAATAAACACCGGAAAGTACACACCCTAATTATAAGGGACAATTTATTTCTGTCATGCGCTCGCGAAGCTTGATGACGTAATTGTAAAATCGAAATCACCCAGTGGACGACAGTCGACGGCAGCTCATGAATTGAACCGGAGAACTGCATCACCAATCGCATTCGACTCGTAAGATTCGATGCATCGGAGGACACGAGGGTAGTGGCTCGTGTCTGACAACTGTGGTGATGCAAATAGCCGAACTCGGGCAATGCATGTAGCTCAGCACGCATTTTGAACTTTCCCAGCCCCAACTGCTGGGTACGATTAACTTTTATGGCATAGGATTGGCGACAGCCCACGTGGCCGCTTGAGGGGATGAAAGATACTCATGTTTCTCGATTT